AATACAGCATATTTAATTCCATATCATTTCCTAGGAATGTGAGGTTGATAGAAACACAAGTCAACGACAGATAAATTTATAAGAAATATAATTGTTTAAAAACCAAAACGAAAAAACAAGATCACCATGCATCCTCCCAATGATGTAGAAATATGAAACAAACCTTGCCTTGCACACCATTAGCCCTTTGAGCATGAAGAAGGTCCAATAAATGACTTCTCTTATCAGATTCATGAACAAATTCAACTCTTTGAGCAATTAGATCAGTACTTGAACCTACTCTTCCCACAGCCAGAAATATATAACTTGAAAGAAAATCAGAGGCTAGTCTCTGCAAAAAAAAACATATAAGACATGATACAAGGTTGAACAAAAAACAAGAATGGTTGTGTTAATATACATTTTTTGTGAAGATAAACAATTAAGACATAATAAAAGCCACTACGATTGCCAAGATGTGCAAGGAGCATTTAAAAAAAGTTTAATGTCAGAAGGAGAGTTGTAAATAGGAATACTATTAAAAATATAATGTATCGGGACATAGACTTTGCGCAGAAAAGGCACCTGAATTTCCCTTGGAAAAGTCGCACTGAACAGCATAGTCTGCCTTACACCAGGTGGAGGCATGTCCATTTGCTCTACTATTTTCCTAATTTGAGGCTCAAATCCCATATCTAACATGCGATCTGCTTCATCAAGGGCCAAGTATCTTATCATCTGCAGTGAAACTTTTGCCCTTTCAAGCAAATCTACCAATCTTCCCGGAGTTGCAACAAGAATATCAACACCTCTTTCTAGTTCACGTAGCTGATTTTTTTATTGAAAAAAAAAAAAGTATCAATAGTGCTATAGCCAAATAAATATAAACAGGCAAAGGCATATGACGTGAGTGGCTCATGAAATGTCAACCCAGAATTAAATGAAATAGAAGAATCATGTCAGCATAAAAATAGAACATGCATGACACCACAAATGAACCCTGTGACAAAAGAAGGAAAATGACCCACACGTCAAAAACAGCACACTAAAAAATTTTCATGATACTTTTGACAAGGAAAATTATTAGATAATTTTATCATTATGTATGTTTTACAAAGTTCTGAGGAGCTTCAAGTTGAATTACACCTTCCATCAATACATGATCGCAGTTTAATCCCTAAACCAAGAAGTTGGGGACTTGTACCAGCCAAGGAAGATCTAACCAATGTTATCTTGAAAAGATTGTTCATCAATGACCATTCAACATTTTAAATGTACACTCACAAATGTTCATGTTTATGATTATGCTTAAATTATTTCCAAAGTAATTATAATTAACCATTATTTCTCATGGCCGTAGCATGACTGAACAAAGAGATTATGATGAGATGCTTTGCTGTCGCAAGTACATATACTCCCTCACCCCTCACATATACTGTGATATAAATGTGTATCAAACGCAGCCTCAGAAATTACATGAACAACACTAAGGGGCAAAATTAGTTTTGGTGCTGACTTTTCTTATCCAAACATGATACAATATAATACATACACATATGTTGAGCTCAAATACTTCAAGATATATAAAATGAGGAGGAGGAGGAGGAGGAGGAGGAGGTAAAGGAACACAAAACCTGTTGGTTGATTGGTGCACCCCCATAAGCAACCACCACTCTAACACTTGTTTGATAAGAGAATTTCCTTGCTTCTTCATGTATCTGGAACACAAGAACTCATTCTTAAACTGCTAAATTGTAATAGTGAGCTGCCGCCTTACTACATCATCAAGGGAAAATAAAATGGAAGTTATTCAGAAAAAACTTACTTGCATTGAAAGCTCCCTAGTTGGGGAGAGAATAAGTGCAAGTGGGTACACTGTGCGTGCACCTCGGGCTGGTCTCTGCACACTTTGGCCCTTCATTATGCCACTGATAATGGGGAAACAAAAGGCAGCAGTCTTTCCAGATCCAGTCTGAGCACAAGCCATCAAGTCTCTCCCTGCAAGGGAGATAGGAATAGCATGCCGCTGGACGGGAGTTGGTTTTACATACTTACACCGCCGAATGTTTTGATTAAGTGCTTCACCCAAGTCAATTTCAGCAAATGTATTCACCGGAGGTGGTACATTTTCACCACTTGTTTCCACAGGAATATCTTCATAAGCATCAAAATTTATACCAGTATTTTCTTGTTCTCCAAATGCTGGATCCGTATCATCCTCATCTTCAAATGGGTTGATTTCACGGTCCCCCCTCCCACGATCCCATCCACCTCCTCTACTTCCCCATCCACCTCCACGACTGCCACCACCATAACCAGAACGATTATAATCGTTCTTTGGACCAGGCCAGCGGGACCCTACATGACCAGATCGATCGTTTCCCGCAGCAGGCCCACTATTTGCTGCAGCAGGCGGGTCGGAAGAGGCAGGGCGATTCCGAAGGTGTGGTGGAACATAGGTCGATCGGCCAGGTGCTGAAGTAGTTCCAGCACTACAATTGTTAGCAGAAGAACCAGCAGCTACGTTCTCAGCAGCCGGACTTGCGGCCAAATCTGCCCAGGAAGTTCGCATAGTCGGAGACCCTTTCACGAATGCAACTAAAAAGCTTGCCAATCCACTCCAAAGTACAACAAATTCTGCACATTATTTATCAATAAAACAAATTAACCCTCATCAGAAAACAAAAGGTTTAAACCATACATGAACACAGTTAAAAACACAAGGTATATTCGGATGCAAAGCTGTCAATCCCGCAACGAACTTAATGCGAAAACGTGACAGCAATGCGTCCTCCGATCAACCAAAAGTGGGACAAAAAACAACTATATGATCGAAACCTCTTTTAAAACTAAAAAAAAATTAATCGTTCTCAAGTCCCAGTTTCTTTTTCGTACGAAAAACATAACCCACAAAAGTAACAAAGACAAATAACCTTGATCTGCAGCAACGCCAAGTATAGGAAAGCTAAAGAACCCCCAAGGTGAAAGAAAATATAATAAAATCAAGAAACGGAAAATAGTTTGAAATCATAACAATGCACGCAAAGACAAAGATACGGAAACGGAGACGGAGGAAGAACCTGAAGAACAGGAAAAACAAAAGGGCGCAGATACCTGAAAAGTCGCAACAATAGTTGAAGATCAGGAACCCTAATTTTCGTCGTAGAGGGAGAGATAAAAAAGCGCTTGCTTGAGAGAACGAAACCAAAAATATCTGCGTTTCCCCGATAAATATTAATTTATATATATATAAATATAAATATATCCAATTTTGCTTTTTTTCCCTAAAAAATGGGTTGGGCTTTGGTAAAACCTGTGTTTCAAATTAAAATCAATTAAATTTCTTCTCATTTTCTTTTTCTTCCTAATTAAAAAATTTTAATCTAATTTACCACGTCCGTACATATCGAGTCCGTATGAGCGGTCCATTTTCCTCACTTCCGATTTTTAATCCTTCTTCTCTAATTTTATTACCGCCTACGGTTACTCACTCTCTTACTCTGCAGTAAAAACCACTCTTTTCTTCTCACCTAACATAAATTATTATGGAATTACGTGATCATTAAACCCAATGCAACATTTCTTCTATTGATTTTCAACCCTCTAATTAAACCCGAGCCAAGATTGGGCCCCGCATCAAAATTTCTAGCCAAGAGGCCCAACCTCCGCTCGACTCCTGACTAGTGTCGTAATCGCACTCTTGCAACAATGAGACGACAATTGTGAGACATTTGTTTCAACCTGACGAACAAGTCGATTGTGAGAAATTCTAATTTCGCAGATAATATCATCGTATGCTCAAGCCTCGAGCCACGTTTGTCAAAATGTGTTTAGAAAACGTTTTGGAAATAAACACATTGTCATAGATTTTAAGTAATAAGGCAACAACAACGACTTTGATAGGATATAACCCGAATATGAATAAATGACTAGTCATATCCTACTATAGTACGCTTTGGGACATTTTATCCTTAAAAGGGTATAGACATAATCTCGGTGAACCATTGTACACTCTCGTATTGACACAATAACAATAGTAAATGCCTATCTAATATGAAATCAAGTAAAAAAGGGTTTAGAACAAACATCCACCCATGAACAAAGCGTCCTGGACAAGTATGACTGGGACATCCACTGTGAATCAAGCGCCCCTTAACATATACATATTTTATAGTTTTTAAATTTTCGTATAAATTTTGGAAACAAAAGTAAAAGGTAGACAATTAAACAGATGAATTAATGTCTTGGCTTACCTTAAAAGTTTCAACGATCATTGAATAAGACCTATTCTCTATAGTTTAACAACACGAGCTTAAAATTGTCATCATCTCACAGTCATATCAAACTGAATCCATCATAACATAAATCTTCATAGATTTATTTTTGATTATTTAAAAAGGTCACGTATCAATGAAAATAATTGTAATCACTTACCTAACATTTATTTTTGTAACCAAAATAGAATTGTGTCGGCATTCATAACACTATCTATAGTGGATGTTACTTAGGTCCTACATCATTAATTTCTTATAACAGTATGAAAACTTCTCCCTAGTACACATATTTTAAAATCGTGAGACTAACAGCGATATATAACATGTCAAAACATACATTATCTACTAGCAGTCGGCTTGAGCTGACACAGTTACATTAAATAACGTACATAATTCGAGCCTAACATTACTCGAATCGTGCTTGAATCGAGTACTTGAAAAAAAAAAAGAGAGAGAAAGTGGGTCCCATTTGTTTTGGGAATTAAGAATTTGGAGGACGAAAATGCTCTCGTTTCGATCGCCCGTCACCCATTCACGTCCACAATCTTCAAAAAAATTGCAACTATTAACAGAAAACGCCCTCTCACGCGATTTCCCCATGAGCCGCCACGTGTCTACATTTTTGATGTCAGAAAACGGCCACGTTCATCTCACGCGCGAGGTGTGAGAGTGGGGATTAGAGCTAACCCTGCTTCGGACCAAAATTTTCAATTTTCAATTCTCTCGAGAAAGAGGGAGAAAGGGACATAGGAAATTTAACTTTCAATTTTCAATCTTACTTTTTTAGTAATTAGAAGAAAAGGACGGGGAAGAAGACGGAGTTCGTTTCTAGGGTTTTCCGAAGGATCTTTTAGGGCTCACGAAATTCTATGAACTTGAGGAGAGCCACCACCGGATCGGCGGGATCTTGATCTGCAATTCGCTTTGCTTTTGGAGAGAAGAATCACCGAAACGCACACAGGCGAAATCATGGATTCTCTATCTTTCAACTCCCATGGAAATCTCGACGAGCAGATTTCCCAGCTCATGCAGTGCAAGCCCTTGAATGAGCAGGAGGTACCTACTTTTTTGTTTATTTTTCTTGTTATATCGTAGAGTCCCGAGATTGTTCGCTCATACTCGGGGGTTCTCGGATGGTATTAGAGCAATGTGATGAATCCAGTCTGATCCGTTAGGGTTGCAGGACTCGGATTGAGGGTAGGATGCGTGGGGTTGGTTACCTTAGGTGCATTTTGAAGGTAGATCTGGCGGTTGGATTATTAGAAATATTGTTGTGCGGGCAATATTTGCGTCCCCTCGAAATAGATCCCTTATCCTGGTGCCTCTGCAGTTGGCCTTTAAAATTTCACTTTCAACATTACCTCACTCCGAGATTATTTTCCCACTTGGATGCCTCGAACGTGTCTGTCTTGTTTTTTGGCATAAAAGATTGCGATACTTACCAGTCATCGAACCCGCGTGTGGTTGTGGCATTTGAGCGTGGAATCAAGTGATTGGCCCATCGATACCATGACATCTGAGAGTGTAAATTGAGTAATGATTTCCTTGGAAGTATAATTTCTAGTTGTACAATTTACGGTTTCCCATTCAGAAATGGCGCTGATCCTTGATGCAAAGATGGACGAGACAAGAGTTCCACTTTTCATGTCGTGGGATTGCTAACAAACTATACTATACTTATTTTTATCATAGATATCAATGGGAAAGCCTGAACAACACCAGTTGCTTAAGTAATGGTATTTAGCTACCTATTTCCGTTTTTGGGACACTGATCTGACATTCTAAGAGCTACATTTCGCTCAACGTGAATTTATGGCTCAATTCAATATATCAAGATGGGAAAAGCTTGAGTTATTATTGTGGCAATGGTGAATTCCAAAAATATCATCCAAGAACCACTACTAGGAAAGAAGGATAGTGATCAGATTTTTATTTCAAATCCACAATATCAGTGATGATGCATAGCATAGTAAATTTTTTTAGAGTGGATTGATCATGTTCTCCTTTTATCATCGAACTTTGGAGTTGTTATATGTTTTATGAACAAGTCTACTAATTATGAGATCCAGTCGAGGTTAGCCAGGTGGGTAATGTTTTATTCTGATCACCCATTAGATGGTGTTTTCCTTGGTTATTGTTATTACTTTCAACGGAGTTGAGCTTTGTAATGCTGACTTGTAACCCTAGTGGGGGCATAAATATGGTTGGAGGTTTGTCATTCTTGTTGGTTCCAACTCTCTTATTTTCAAGAGAACTTGATTTCTTCTCATTTTCAAAGTCTGCACTTTCTAGATTTTTTTTGATGATTTCCTGTTGAAGACATTTTCTTTGTCATTATTAATTGCTCCTTCAATGACAATGGTTTGTACTATTTTTGTTATGTGTGGAATAATTGTGTTTGTTGCGAAGTTTTTGCTGTTTTATTTGACTTAAGTATAAGCAAAATGTATCTTTTGATGGCACAAATCAATAGTTGGTGATCATATTTTCCTCTTCTAGAACCTTAACTTAGTGTTTATTATCTCTACTGCAGGTTAGAGTATTGTGTGAGAAAGCTAAGGAGATATTAATGGACGAGAGCAATGTACAGGTGTGCTTTATTTGGTGCCATGCACTTTCTCCCACCGATCTCTCTTTGCACACTTTCTTACTAGATTTTCTTTACATATATAATTTCTCTCATTAGCATTGTTTTCACATTCTCATCATAATTATTCAAAAAAAGTGTTTGAAAGCACTTCTGAAGTGTTGGAAATAAACAACAAAGGGATTTACTATTGGTACTTTTTACTGAAATTATGTATAATAGGTGCATTCTTCTTCAAAACCATTTCCAAGCACCCTCTTACTAAATCTGTTCAAGAAGTTGGTTCTTCTTCAAAACCATTCTCTTCATAATTATTCAAAAAAAGTGTTTGAAAGCACTTCTGAAGTGTTGGAAATAAACAACAAAGGGATTTACTATTGGTACTTTTTACTGAAATTATGTATAATAGGTGCATTCTTCTTCAAAACCATTTCCAAGCACCCTCTTACTAAATCTGTTCAAGAAGTTGGTTCTATTGGCGGTTTCCTCCCCAAAACAATTTTTGTAGCTGTTATATTCTGTCTTCCATGATCTTGTTTTCTTATTCAGTATTCCGATGCATTTTGTTCTTTCCACTTATACTGGGTTGTTTCGAATAATAATGACATTTATTCTCAGGTTTCTAAAATGAAAATTAGGTCTGCATCGAAATTGAAACTGTTAATTTGTGGTCTGGGATCTATCTGGGGTTGGAATTTTTATAATGGTCATTCTCTTGGTCATGCATTCATTCTTCTCCTGCAATTTGACGATGGGTGTGTCATGGATGCTGCTTAATTTTTATGCTTATGCCTTGGGGTTTTATGCTCTGCAGCCTGTTAAAAGTCCAGTAACAATATGTGGTGATATTCATGGGCAATTTCATGATCTTGCAGAGCTCTTTCGCATTGGAGGGAAGGTATCTAATTTGATCATTGGCAAGAATTTTGTGATTATCTTTGCTGACCGATTAGCGATTAAAGCATAGGAAGAGAATATATCTACTCAAGTGTGAAAGAAAAGCTCTTGATATGCTGACTGAGATTGTAGGCTCTAGTTAATGTTGAATCGTTGTGCTACTCCAACTTCAAGCATATTACCAAGTAGATAATGAATGGAATTAGTGATGGATATAGATTGAAGCAAATAAATGGGTACTTTTCATATATCCCTGGTATACACACACACACAACTTATTAACTTAATCACATGATCTAAAGCAAACGTTGAAGTAGTCAAATTTCTATGTTCACCACACATTCCTAGTGATAAGTTTTTTCAAGTTTCTTTCTGAAGTTCTAGATTATGCTTGCTACTGAATAGTTAGAGAAGCCTCTTATTTATCTATCTATTTATTTTTATATTATATCTATATCATAAAGTTCTTTGTTCCTCTAAAATACCTTTCTTGGGGCAGTGTCCAGATACAAATTACTTGTTTATGGGAGATTATGTTGATCGTGGCTACTACTCAGTTGAAACTGTAACGGTAAGTATGTTTTGTTTATGTATAGATGTACTACATACTTTGTACTTCATATATAACATGGCAGAATTTGTTTAAGGTACATACATTTGCAATTGAATTGTCACCTCTTGATTGGCATAGAAACTGCGATTTTTAGCATAAATTTTAACTTCAATTAAGTAGGGTCTTGGAATGTTTGCTAAACTAGGTGGTAACGAAAGCCTTGTTTTCTATTAAAAGAGTAACTAACTTGTGTTCTAGCCTTTAATTCAATTAGTTGCAACAACCATTTTAATTTTAATTTTCTATGGGGTTCTGTCCAAGAAAGATTAAAGGAGTAAATATTTGGATTGGAATTCTAGAGACATTACAAATTTTTGAAATTTTGTTTTGAACTACGAAAGTTTGGTTTGCATGCAGTATATATGTTTTAGAACTAAGAACAACAGAAAAATGAATAATAACAACGTATCATAATGTGCAAGATTCCAGTGGCAATTGAGTTGAATCATTAGGTATATGAACTAGAATTTCGTCTTGTAGTTTTCTATAACAGAACCTGTATTGGGGGCAGCCTCTTTGTATACCATTCTTACTTCTATCTCACTCTATCTCACTTCTACGTACAACTACTTTGTATTTCTGGTATTATAGACTCCGGGACCCATTTGAAGTTTGTGGTATTGGAAATTAAAATTTATCTTGATCCATGAACATTAGACATCACTTAATGAAACAACTGAATGACCATTATCCTAAGTGTGGGCTTGTCCAATAATTTAATGATGCACAACTCCTTATACCATGTTTTGTTAGCAACATTCAGCCATTCTATAGCAATGTTATCATAGTAGGCATAGGATGCTCTTTTTTGGGCAGTAACTCAACTTAGTTCTAATGTAAGTCATTTTTCAGCTTTTAGTGGCCCTTAAAGTGCGATATCCTCAACGCATTACAATTCTTAGAGGAAATCATGAAAGTCGCCAGGTAAATGTTTATCACTGTCATTTCTGCTGCTTACTTTCTAATGTTTAGTTCCATTCTTTTTGTCTACCCAGATATATAATATTTTGGAAGTTTAAAGTTATAACATCGGTGAATATTTTTTTGGTACCATGGCCCCCTCATATGTTCTGTAATTTTGATGTTCTCGACAGATGTCATCTTTAACTGTGTTTATGTTCCCTTATGCAGATAACACAAGTTTATGGGTTCTATGATGAATGCTTGAGAAAGTATGTCTTTTCTAGCCTTTATTCTCATTTTGAGGTCTTTATTTTTCTACATCCTTCTATGGCTCAACTCTGTTTTTCTTGTCATCTTATATACCTTTTTCTATCTGTATTGCTTTTATTTAATACTACTTTGTTGCACATTTTTTTTGGGATGCATATTAAGTTTGAATAAAATGGTTACTTTGATACGTTCTGACACATTCCTCAAAATCTGTCTTTTATTTATTTATTATGTACTATGAGCTGTCTATTTTTGAAGTTGAGTTATTTATCAGAAGATAGAAGTTATTTACTTATTAATGTAATGCACGAAGGAGAGTACATTTTTTTGTGTGATCTAAGAATGTATTATATTGACACGATCATGAAGTAAGAAGAATACTTTATAAGTGCAACCCAAGCCTGACCTGTAAGTTTTTTTTTTAATCTTATTTCATTTGCAGGTACGGCAATGCTAATGTTTGGAAGACTTTCACTGACCTGTTTGACTATTTTCCGCTAACAGCCCTGGTCAGTTTGATTTAGGCATAATTATGTATAAGTGCATTGTGCGGTTTTTTTACTCGCACCATTATGATTGCTGATATATGTTTCTGAAATTGATCCTGATGTTTATTTATCTGATCTTTATAGGTTGAATCAGAAATATTCTGTCTGCATGGTGGTTTGTCTCCATCCATCGAAACCCTTGACAATATACGGAATTTTGATCGTGTTCAAGAAGTTCCTCATGAAGGTCCCATGTGCGATCTCTTATGGTCTGACCCAGACGATCGATGTGGGTGGGGAATTTCTCCCAGAGGTGCTGGATATACCTTTGGCCAGGTAATTTGTGTAGCCATCCCCTTGTTTAACATCTAATCCCTCATGTTTCCACCATGGTCTTTTATGGGATCTTCTTGCTGTTTCTCCAGGACATATCTGAGCAGTTTAACCATAGTAATAATTTAAAGTTGATTGCAAGAGCTCATCAGCTAGTGATGGAAGGATATAACTGGAGTCATGTAAGAAGTTTCTTCCCTTTCATCCAGCATTGATCTTTTGTTTTGGTGGTGTGGGAACTTAAAATTTGTAATTTGCTTGTTTTACAGGAACAAAAAGTTGTGACTATATTTAGTGCTCCTAACTATTGTTACCGCTGTGGAAACATGGCATCAATTCTGGAAGTCGATGACTGCAAGGCGCACACTTTCATTCAGGTTACTTCTCCCACCTGAGTCTATTCATATCTTACATTTGTGTTTTCTTTATATGTGTAAAATGTTGTAATATTCTTTGCATATGCAGTTTGAACCAGCTCCTAGGAGGGGCGAACCAGATGTTACTCGAAGAACTCCCGACTATTTCTTATGATGCGCCTATTCTCAGATGGAAGTTTCTAGCAGCAGCTGTTTATCAAATATATATGGTTTGGCTGTTTTTGCATTGGAGAATTTTAGTTTCCCTATGGTGAGGTGGTGGTTTGGGGGGGGCAAAAGCATGTAAATTCCGGCAGGTTGCTTCAGGAGGGAGGAGTGCATCTTTGAAAATCTCAAGGTTTTGCTGAAGAGTAAGCTATAGGGCTGGCGACTCATTAACTGCATGTGTAACATCTCCAGAGAACAATGTATTGCATCTCTTTCGTTTTTTAGTAATTTTTTCATGTAATTTTCTTTTCCTCTGGTTCACGGGCTGGGCTCTCTCTGCTTTTCTGTTAACTATTTTGTAGGATGCTTGTTTTAGTTTTCTTTTTTGGGGGTTACAGATGGACCATCAGTTTAATTTCCTTCCTTCAATGAGTGCCTTTATTATTCTTTCCTATCATTTCTTTTGTTGTTACTCTGCACTTTCCTTCCCTTGGCTTTTAGATTTTTTTTCTTTGCCTTTACTATTCTTCCCTATATAACATACAAACAGCTTGTTTATCTTCAACGAACGAACACTCAGGTCCCAAGTGGAGAGCAGCACTGTAAATAGTCTTAGTAGGAAGCAAAGAATCGGATGCAATTACCATTACAGGCACACTCATTAGCCTCGCAGATCCAGCTACATGGTAACAGTACCAATACAGTTCTTCAAAACTATCATATCCTCAATCAAGAGATAAGGATGACTTTGTGAGTACTTAAAAAAGTATAATTATGTGAAGAAGAAATGTGTTCGGAAGTGTTTAGAAAGTTATTCCAAACCGCTTTAAATGAACAACAAACTAAACTTTTCTCTCAGGCCACAGCACCTTTAAAGGGTGAGTGCTCCTGCCCCTTTCCTCTTTAGGGCTCCTACTGCTGCTCGGTTCTTTTCTCATTTTGAATCGAAATAGGTACAACCCAGTTCATACGATTACTGCAGGGATATGTGTGCGAAATTTGGACGTTGTGTGACTTAAAAGCAGCTTTCAGCACGTCCTACGGACACCCTTCAAAGATGTCTTGCAAACATTCTTTGCACCCATCAAGCACTTGGGGACGTCCACAAGTTCATCTGTTCTCCTGCACCAAACTGCACCAATAAGAAAACAAAAAAGTCAACACTTTTGTGCATATTTTGATTTTGAAATGTCAAAAAATCCACATTTTCATGGCTTTTCTGAGATGGGTTATCTTCAAAATTCCATATATTGCTCTCTGCCGCTCCTTCGTCATCAGCACAGTTCCCAAATAGAAGGTGTTGCCATATTCAGCGCAGATTCTCCGAAGAAATGAAGGATGAATCTTCAGCTCAAGAAATGGTTGGCCTCCTGAGATTGCTTTTCAACGTGCAAACCAACCAGAAAATTTAAGGTCCGACGGCTTTTGGGTGCTGCAATTGCCCCATCTCTGCTCATTTTAAGTGTTGACCGTTTTCGAAAATGCTTCCCTTTGCAATCAGCAATTTGAAGAACTCATTATATAAATCTTTTGACAAAACCCAAAAAAATATTTTATTATTCGATACTTTGAGTTTAATTTAATAACATATCTTCGTTAACTTTTGAACAATTATTGAAATGCCCTACAAAATATTTTACTTATCATAAATTAACGTCAACAGCATCTATAACAAATAAATATAATTTATGTGTAATTAGAACTTCTCTCATCCAGTAGCGTTTGTAGTCCGACGATTAGGATAATTGCCTTTCAAGCAATAGACCCGAGTTTGGACTCTCCGCAAACGCATTCGTTCTTTTTATAATATTCAAAATTTCAGCCGCCCATGACGCATTATAAAGAAAAAAAAAAAAAGAAATAATATTATTTTGAAAAAGACATGCCCCAAATGGACTACTGTCCAGTTTTAATTAATTAATTTATAATTACAAAATTAACAAAAAAAAAAAAAATCGCACTTTTTTTAATAATAATAAAAAAAGAAAATAAGAGATAAATATCTAAAAAAGACACCCCTTCTAGAAGAAATGATTGAGGGAGTGATGAGATGCATATGAAATTAAATCATGGCCGACAAAAAGAACCGGAACCTCCATTTGTCGGACCGGACCCACTTCGTAGCTCAGCCCTCCCCTCCCCTCTCCACCGCCATGATGAATTATGTAAAGGCTATAACATCTATAATAAAGTTTGATCTATAATATATATTGTAACGTCATGTCAAATATATTATATATATTTTTTTAATTGCGAAAATTAAAACTTATAAATTACATATCATTTAATGTATGGGAAAGAGAGAAAAAAAAACAAAACTTTACAAATAGAAATTGGATACTCGTAGTCCATGGACGGGATTGTTGGTATTTATTAGAAACGGTGAGATCAACAATCTCATTAGCTGTTCGAGGAAGGTGGAAGATGCATTAAATGGGCGAAGAAAGATCGTGCTTTGAACAAGTTCTTACAGAATGATTCTACACGAAAAACTCGTTGTTCTCCTCAATTCCCTTTGAGAAACAAAGCCAATAGTCCCAACATCTTGTTTCACTTTTACTACTTATTTGTATTACTTTTTTTACGGTTCTCCTCTGCCTTCTTCATCATCTTGTTTCATCTTTCAGGGATGTTCGGTAAGAGTCTGGGTCTCATAAAAAAGCTTCCGACAATAATGCTAACTGCTTCAACATTTTAAGATATTGAATCGTCTTGCTCTTGTAAACACTATATCATCAGTGGTAAAAGTCGTTGGAATTCTCATTTTTTGTCCATACGCTCTCCTATGTACGAATTTCAAATATCTTTTTATGTCACATATGATTGTCCTTAAGGCACGTACCAACATCTTTGTCTATCACCCGAATTTCTTGATTCACGACATCGAGTATTTGCACTTTTAATTTCGTGACTCGACTTGTAGACGGTGATACTACCACCTTCAAAGACTTGATGATCCTCTTTTCTTCACATGTGCCAATGTTCATAAAAAGCTTAAAAGTTGGCCCTTGTGTTCCGACTCTGGGACCAACAACCACTAGCTGTCGACTCATTGGTAAGGTGAGAACACCTCCGAAAGAAACGAAAGACTTTATTCCATAACTCATATATATTTTTTTGTCCGTCAGATCAGATGTGAATCATAATCAAAATAACTAGTCCAAAAATTAGTAAAGGTTTAGTTGAGCCTCTCATTTGCCGTTTTCTAATTTATGATATATATTTAATGCAATTAGTAAATATTTAAGAAACTATATATTATATTCATTTAAATCTCAACTTAAAGTTAGTTGATGTATTAATTTTTGTTACCTAATTTATTGACTCCAAATTACATGATTAAATTATTAACCTTATTTAATTTTTTTGGAAGATTCTCATTTAACATTATTAATAGATTATTGCTTTCCAATAATCTTATCTTATAACTTAGATTAAGACGTGACATTATGTGTCTTTAGCCTCTTGTTTGTGAGGCCCCACTTAGCAACAAAATAAAATAATTCTCATTTATATTAATAAAATAGCTATGCCTAACTCTAATATATTTTAATACTTATATACAATTCCTTATAAATTACGCCCATTTTTTTTTTCTTTTATTGCAAATAATTTGTTTGAAGTAGTGTAATTTTTCAAAAATTTAATGAAAGTTTTTTCGTGGAGTCTAATTAAATATAATTTAATCATTTTTAAGGTAAAGTTTATTTGGTCGAGATATTATAAATTAAATAGTTTAAATTATTTGACATTATTAAATAAAAAAATATAAATTTTAATTTATTAAATACATTGACTTGAAACATAATTAAAGCAACGTAACGTGATTAACTGTTGTTATGATATATTTAATTATAAATTTAGATATATTCTCATGTGACCCTTTATTAAGAGTTGACAATAAAAATGTTTTTTTTTATTAAATAAATGTATCACTCAACTTTCAAAATGCCTATAAATCATTAATAACGATTAATTTTATATAGATTGATTAAAGGTTATTTTTGTCAACCATAATAAATTTAGTAAATGATGCAATGAATCGGATATGGAAGCGTGACCCACTGACCAAATCGAAATTTTTTTTATTTTTAAAAAATTTGATACAATCCCATTCAAATTTAAAAAATAGACGTTTGTAATAGAAATTATTGATGTCGGTAACCATTAAATATTTTATATTTAAATTTTCCCAAATTTCAGTTATTTTAAATAATTTTAGAAAAAATAACTCTATCTAATCCAACGGGTTCAACTCGAAATTTTGACATACACTTTATTACTACGCTTTTTTCTCCTCGAATAAAATATTTAATATTTTAAATTCAACACCGTAATTATTAAGTCATTAATTTAATTAGGCATATATCAGTAATTATACAATATTTTGTCAACTTATTTAATATTTTTTTAAAATAATGATAATAATTAAAAACGTTGGCTTTGTTTACCTCATGAAAATGAATTCCGGTAATATTAAATTAAATTTTTGTTATTAAAATAAAAAAATAAATAATTAAGTATTATATAATATATATATATATATATATATATATATATATATATATATATATATAATGGAGACAAAATTTTATAAACTCATTTTTTTCATTATTTAAGCTTAAAATAAAAATCGACTTTAAATTAATAAAAAAATATGTGAAGTTAAAAAAAAAAAATGGCATCGCCCACTAAAATAAATAAGTGAGAATGACCTGTGAAAATTAAACAAAATGATTTTTAAATTTTGTATTGTAGGTCCAACAAATTATGATTTTTTCTCCCTTACTTTTTTTTATTTAATTTTTAATCACTATTAACATTTTTAGCGACAAATAAGTTGGTGTGAGATTAATAGCATGCTTGGAATAATTTTTTAAACAATATATTTCTAAATAAAATTAATTTATCTAGAAAAAATTTATAAAAATTGTTTATTTGAATTTTTAATCAAATTAGAAAAATAAGAACAAGATTTCCTTTATTTTCAAAACAAATAAAAAGTAGATAAAAAATAAATTAAATAAGGTCATAAATAAAAATTAAAATAAAATTTTGGTTTTTAATTTTATTTATTACACTTCTTTATCCCTCAATATTTAAATTCTAATCCAATTGAAACTATTTTTTAATGTTTAAAATTTAACTTAATATTGAAAATTTTGTAAAAATAGATAAATAAATAAAAATAAATAAAAAAAATAAAAAACAACTTGGAGTGAACACATGTCTGAACTAAGGGATTGATTAAACATAAAGATTGGTTTGGATACTATGGATGAGTGTGACAATACAAAATTAAAATAAATGTAATAATTATAATAAGATATAGACTTTATGGCATGTGACCCCAATTATTTTGTGTTGATTTTCCACATATAATTCCAAATAAATAAAACATTTTTCTTTTTACCTCCCTAGGCCCCATTTCTTTTGCTTTTTGCCCCCTCCCTCCAACTTGCTCCTCCTTTTCAACCTTTTCAACTTTTGCATTTTAGTCCATTCTTTTTCGTATTTGCAATATCATTACCTCAACCTATATCTCTTTTTGCCCCCACCATTTTCTTTATTTGCAAAAACTCTTTTTCCGATGATTTAATTTAAATTTTAAATTTTAAATTTAACAAATTGTTTACGATAAATGACCGAGACAAACGTCTATTTTCAAGTAATCTTGACAAAAACAGATTGTTAATACGAGTAAGCTAAGTTCATTAGAGTGTCCATGTATAGTAGTTTCGTGGATACTCCTTTCGAGCTATGGTATTAATTATGACCTTCCTTTTCTAGATCCTATTCTCCACACGTCTTTTTTAAATATCAATCTAAGGAAAGAAAATACAAAGCGTACCCGTGAACAATGCTCCAAATACATTTTTGGAAAGTTTTCAATTCTAATCGGAAATTGATTTTCCAATTTTACCTTATTAATAATATATATAAAACAAAAAACAAAAAGAAACTAGTTGCTTATTCACTATGCCAGCCATCAATCTTCTAGAAGTTTTTTTTTTTTTTTTTTTTTTTTTTTTTTNTGGGAAAAGTGGAAAAAAAAAAGTTAGTCATTTTCATAGCCATAATGGACACTGAAAAAAAAAAGCCTTAATTTTCAAATTTTGCAAGTTGAGCTGTGCTACAAACTTTATTTTTCTATATTTATCTTTTTGCAAAAATTAGTATTTTTTTTTTCCTTAACCTTCTAGAAGGTTTTTGTGAGTGGTGGCCCTGTTGTGTCTCCCAAGTTTATCCAACTAATTAGTTTACATCAATTTTATCCAATATTCAATAAATATTTTACTTTTCAATCTAAATTAATAATATTAATTTTTAAAATTAATTGTATCTTTAATAAAAAAGAATTCGAATCGTTCATCTTTAATCCACGATATAAATTATTTAAAATAAATAATACAAAACACGTTAAAAATATTAATGGGAATATTTAAAAGAAAAAAAAAAAAGAGAAAATAGAGAATTTCTCCATTACAAATGTAATCCTATCAATGGACAGTCAGAAATTAATTAAATAATTATATCCACGTGTCAATATCCTACCGGCATGGATCTGTCGTGGGACCACACACAACGACAGGCGGGAAGACTTCGAAACCAAAGCTTACTCTTCAGTCGCCTTATCCTATCCATGTCTCCTTCATTTTTTAAGGGCCGAAATATATATTTTTCTATATATATATATATATATATATATAAATAAAAGGTTAACCATAATTTTATATTTTTTAAAAATTTGATTTTTATTGTAACATAAAAATTTAACTTATATATAATATAAGGTTAGAGAATATTATACTATTTTAAAAACTGACAATTTCAAAATTAATCACTAAATAGATAATCTAACTGAAAAAAAAAAAAAAAAAAAAAAAAAGAGGCAATAATGGGACATGAAAGTACGATATGGTCCTTGCGGCGTGAAAAAGGGATAACGATTGAGTTTGGGGAGTTTGGACCATGAATAATTATTTAAATCTCACCGTTAATTCACCGGTGAATGCAAGACTGGAAAATAAATATTTATATATAAAGAAAAATAATTAAAAAAAATTGGTTATTGGATTTGTATAGTCGGGTGTTATAAATAGCAGGGTGAAGGATATGAAAGCATCAAAATCCTGAGTGCCAAACAAAATCGACTGTCTCTCTTTCTATTTAAATCTCACTCTTTTCTCAATGGAATCCTTCGAATTCCAATTCTCTGAGTTGATTCCGGGTCTCCCTGAAGAACTCGGCCTCGACTGCCTCACTCGGTTGCCTTACACCACCCACCGCCTCGCCTCCGCCGTCTGCCGCCGCTGGCATCAGCTTATTTCCAGCCGCGATTTCTATTACCACCGTCGCAAATCCGGCGCTACCCGTCATCTTGCTTGCCTGATTCAGGCACTTCCCCCTGCTTACACTGCCACTGGATGGAAGCTCTGCACCTCACTCAGTTATGGAATCACCGTTTTCGACCCACTGAGTCAATCCTGGGACCGAATCCCTCCGATTCCTCAATACCCTGATGGGCTCCCTTTGTTCTGCCACATAGCTAGCACCGAAGGAAAATTGGTCGTTATGGGTGGCTGGAACCCAGAGACTTACGATCCGATTGTCGATGTTTTCGTTTATGATTTCACTAGATGTGCGTGGAGGAAGGGCAAAGATATGCCTTCTGAGCGATCTTTTTTTGCAATTGGGGCTTCCGATGGCCGAATCTACATCGCCGGTGGCCACGATGGGAGTAAGAACTCCCTGAAATCCGCCTGGGTCTACGATCTGAGAAGCGACGAGTGGACCGAGTTGCCGGAAATGAATCAGAGGAGGGACGAGTGCGAAGGGCTGATGGTCGGCAGCGAGTTCTGGGTGGTGAGCGGCTACGACACCGAACGACAGGGAATGTTCGACAGCAGCGCCGAAGTCTACGATCTCGATTCCGGCGAGTGGAGGGTCGTGGATCAGGCGTGGGAGACGGGACGCTGCCCGCGAGCATGCGTCGGAATGGGTAAAGACGGAAAACTGAAAAACTGGTCGGAAGCGGCGCCGTCGGTGAGGGTCGGAGCCTGTGGGATGGTGATCGGAACCCAGCTTCTGGTGACCGGGTCGGAGTACCAAGGGGCACCACAGAATTTCTGCCTGATGGAGAGGGAAGGAGGGCAAAATAGTAAAATAACGAAAATGAGTATTCCAGAAGAGTACTCCGGGTTTGTACAATCAGGGTGCTGTGTGGAGGTGTAATTGACGAAAACACCCTCAATCGAAATCTGGAAACTAGATGTAGGGTATGTACATACATACATATAGAAGGGGAAGAGATTACGAATTTTGTTTTGTGTAACGCGTAATTTTATTTCCCCTCATTTCCCGTATAATATAAAGTTTTAAAACTTTACTATATTTTTATTATTATTACATCTATATTTCATATTTTCTTGTCTCTAAAGTTTAGTTCCAGCATAGGAGAGCTCATCCTTCATCTGCTTCCTCAGAACTCTTCTCAGTAACTTGTTGGAAGCAGTTCGCGGGAAGCTTGGCACAATTTTCACAAACCCAACCTGCAATTTCATTTCATTTCATTTCATTTCATTTCTCACATCAACTTCATTCAAGGAATATGAACTTTCCATAACATCCTTACCTTGAATAATGGGTTGAGATTGCTTTGAATTGCTTTTGACAGCTTCACTTTCAGCTCTTCTGTGGACCTTTTGTATCCTCTTTTTAGCACCACCAAAATGACTAGCTTTTCCGGACCAACTCCTCTGGGCGACACGCTCACTGCAGCCGTTTCCAATATGCTCTCGTCGACATTGTTGCATATGCACTCAATCTCAACCGAACTTGTCTACATAATGTTAGAAAGAAACAGGCAGATGTTATATGATCTAAATGTTTGGAAGGACATTGTATGTCGTTTTTAATAGACGAGTTAGAATGTAAGATCCCTCGTTGGTTGGGGGAGAGCATGAAGTATCCTTTATAAGGGTGTGAAAACCTCTCCTTAGCATACGAACGTCCAAAGAGGATAATATCTGCTAGCGTTGAGCTTGAGTTGTTACATAGCACATGAGTTCAAGTTTTATCAAGATGCAGACGTTATCGACTATTACCTTGATCCCGCCGAGATTCATGGTGTCATCAGCCCTACCTTGAACAACAAAATAGCCTCCAACAGTTCTTTTAAGGATGTCTCCATGTCTCCTCAGTTGCTGCTACGAAGCGAATCAGGTAAAAGATGGCTTGAGAATGGAAGAAATCTATAAATTACAAGAAAGGTGTGCTTGATTTTAAGCTTGACCATACCATTCCATTGTAAATTGGCATTCCCTTGAAGTAAACTTCATGATGATCAGCGTTTAGTAATCTGTCACTTGCTCCCAGATACAAAGGGAATAATCCTATTTCACCAACGCAAGCCTGATCCTCTGGCTGTTAATAACAAGAAAGAAAATATAAGATACTCGATTTCTTCGTCGATAAATTCACGAACAACTTAAAAATGTGCATATTTCTTGCTCTCACGTAAGGTATTCCATATTCATCAAGGATCACAAATCCTGTGGTCATAGATGGTGTGCTAAAAGCTCCAAAAGCCTGTGGTTGTAATGGACTTCCCATGATGTAGCATGAAGCAAGTTCCGTGCCACCACAACATTCGATTACCGGTTTGTAATACGACCTTGAAGAAAGCCAGAGGTCATCGTCGACATTTGAAGTTTCCCCCGTTGTGGCAAAATACCTGCAGATATCAGCTTCCATGTCCATTAACTGATACTCGTGGTAACTCAATAAGTACATGCAAATTATTACCTTATCTTTGTCCAATCTAAGTTTTCCATGCACTTTGTATCCTTCCATGTTTTTACCAGGCTTGGAACTGTTCCCAAAATGGTCACTCCTGCATCCTAAAACAAATGCACAGCAAGAAAATGTATAAAAACCGAAACGAGCCATCCTGGAGAGCAAGTCTGATGGTCGGTTCCTAACCAACTTTATAAACTTGAACAAAGATTTCACCTGGACAAACTTTCCAAATCCAGGGCCGAGGGGAGATCCATGATAGAGTGCAAGAGTTGCACCAGCTAATAGGCATGAGTACAATGAAATTGGCCCCATCACCCATCCTAAATTTGTAGGCCAACAGACAATGTCAGCAGCCTGAACATCCATATGAGCCCAGGAATCAGCCGTGCATCGAATGGGTGAAAGTTGTGTCCACGGGATTGCCTTCGGCTCTCCTGATTTGGGCCAGACGTTTATAAACAAATAGTAAGTACCAATGCCAGCATATTGTATAAACAAGTAGTGCTTAGAGTTGCTTTTTACCTGTGGTTCCAGATGAAAAGAGAATGTTAGTCATGGCATCTATTGAATGAAACACTGGAGAGTAATAATTTGATCTACAAAATAAAACATAACTGGTACTGTTGGTAATCTTTGGAACACAACCTTAACAGCAGTAGAATTCAAGATAGTATCAAGAAAGCAACAAGTAACCATTGTCATTGCATTACCTTGGAAGATCCTTTGCAGTGGAAAGAAATTCTTCCCATGATAGGTCCTGTTCTCGCAAATTCACTTCCAATCTGTTTCCAGTTGCGGGGATCACAATAGCATTACATGATCCACCTTCTATAACTCGACTGCGAACCGAAAAAACTTCCATGAGAAAGTTTCGTGCAGATACGAATTCTTAAACAGCTAAATCCATGTGTCAAATGATAATATAGGCACTAAAACTTCCAAGAAACCTACTAAGAAAGACTTAAATTCTAAGTTGACAGATTAATCGAGCTGTGATAGCAAGCCTTGAAAAACCAGAGAATGAACTATTAATGTCATTCCATCTACACTTGCTTTTGTCACTGTAAGTTATGACTCGTAGAGTTGTTCATTGTTTACTTCACCTATATAAAGGATACTTCCTGCCTCCTCTCAGTATGAAATCCTGCTTGAAATATGAAATAAGAATTAAACATTGAAGAACACAAAAAGAAAGCCAAATGTTCAAAATTTGTTCTTTGTATGGAAGCATATATAATAATAGTAAGTGTCAAATTCTGTATATTTCTAGTGAAAACAAATTCTCAACAAAGAGATTTCTTACTGTAACAGCTCAAGCTCATCGCTAGCAGATATTGTCCTATTTGAGCTTTCCTTTTCGGGCTTCCCCTCAAGATTTTTAAAACACGTCTGCTACATCAGTTCGGGAAGAGAACAAAACATTCTTTATAAGGATGTGGAAACCTCTCCCAAATAGATGAGTTTTAAAAAACTCTGTGAGAAAGCTCGAAAGAAAAAGTCCAAAGAGGACAATATCTGCTAGCAATGGGCTTAAGCTATTACACTCACTCTTACTTGTTTTAAATTACCTGAGTAAAGATTCCCTTTGCCTTTGATATCTGCAAACGAACGGCAACTTCGTTGGCAGCAAAGCTGTCAGCAATCGACACGACAACAAGTCCTGCTAGAACAATAGCTAAATATATAACAACTGCATTGACTGTCAATGGCATATCAATGGCAATAGCATCGCCCTTTGAAAACGTTGCATCAAGTGCATTAGCCACCAACCTGAACAGTACGCCAAAATCTCATTAGAAAAGAGTAAAATATCAGTAAACCTCTTCATTCTTTCTAATTATCACCAAAAAGAACTAACGAAGATTAGAGCATACATTACTTCCTCTCGAAGTTCTTTAAGTGTCATATGGTTCACATTTGAATCATCACAGCCTTCATCCCTCCATACAATTGCCAAACTATTATCATCTCTGAATGGACGACTTGAAGGAAGCAAACAACAATGGGCAATATTCAAAATGGAGTCAGGGAGCCATTTTCCCTTTGACTTCTCAGTCATATCTAAAATACACCTCGGTGGTTTTTGAAAAGTAACACCAAGCTCTTCCAAAACAATTGACCAGTAAATCTATAGCCATCAAAAGACAAGACAGTAATCACCAAAATGAACGCAACATATGGGAAAATCCCAGCACAGAGTTTGAATCCAAACCTCAGGATTCTGAGAGGAGAATTCCTGAAAGAGCCTGAAACTTGAGATGGGATCTTTATATGAAGCTCCCAACAGCTTTGGACCATATAGCTCCATAATCCTTCCCAAGTTTGTTAGCTTAGATCGATCCCTACAAGTAGAAAATAGTATAAACATTAAGAACAGAAGGCTTAAGAATCCCTGCAAAATGAAGAAGGGTTCAAGAGATTCATTACAGAGAAGGAAACCAATAGGGAGGAGGTCCATTGGAGGAGAAATTCCAATCAGCATAAACAGAGTAATAAACAAGCTGATGCAACCCATATGGATGTGAGGGCTTCAACACTGTTCGAGCCATGAGCTCGCGCCAAATGTCTCTAGGGTCTGATGTTTTGATCATGAACAGCGCATTCTGCAGAATGTTGTGGAATTCCAGAGCCGCTTCTGGGTTTAAGCCTGCCTCCACAAAATCTTCAATACTCAGTTCCCAAATGTTCTTCACCATTTGTGCTTCTCAAAATGAAATCTCTGTTGGGGTTTAGGTTATAAATCCGAGTCTGATGCAAGCGATTGTGGTTTTGGATCAGCCACGCTTCGACATTTGTGAGAATTTATGATCTAGGCCTGCCTTTAGAGTGAGTGTGATATCCTACTGAATTTATGATTTCTTTGAGCGGAAGGTGAATCCAACTGGAAAAAATTAATAGTTGACATTTTGATTTCAACACTGATGATAAAAGTCCACGGCTAATTTAGGGAAGTGTCATAGCTTATTTAATTATCAAATCATCATCCGTTTATAATCGAACAATCAAATGGAAATGAGGTTTTTTGAGAAAGGGCAAACCAAATCCATAAGAGTTTATGAACCAATACAATACCATTGTGGAAAATCGTGTTCATCTCACAGGTACCAGAGCATTTATTTAGAGATTTTTCTCCTACCATTTTTTTATGAACAATTGTGTAACAATTTTCCCTTTCAATTATTGGTTTTTTTATTTTTTCTATTTTTTTATAAAAATTGTTTTTGTTAATATTTTTTCAAAATATTTAAATTAAACATAATATAATTTGTATTTTAAATATATGAAATTTTGCATAATTAATGATCCATTATAATTAATTTATAATTTGATTGAGATGTATTTTGGTTACGTTAACCATTTTAATTAATATTCTATTTTAGACTCTCATCTAGCTCATAACCACGTAAATTTGTGTCTCTTTGTTTAATTTATATTTGTGGGCATATGAATACGCTTGCTTCCACTTCTGCTACCACAATTAGGTATCAAAATAGCTTTACGACATAACAAACGGTATCAGAGCATTGAAGGTTATAGCGTTACAATGCACGACACAGTTAACTTGGGGATCGAGATCATTCAAGTTATTGAAAAAGTAATAAATATCTGTAATTACATTAATTAGTTAATTTTTCCACTAAAAATCAATTAAATCAATATTTAAGATGATTTATAAAATAATGAGATATTTAATTAATTTTAGTTAAATACATCAATTCAAATCAATTAATTTTAATAAAAGAAAATAGGGAAAAGAGACGATGAGTTAATAAGAAATATTCCAAAAATATTTCATCTTTTAAAAACCAAATAAATAATAATGTAATTATAAATATTAAATTAAACTTTGTACTTAATTTAACTAGTTAATTATAGTTAAGATGTCTTATTATACGTATATAACTACAAACGATACATTAAGTTGCAAGTCAAAGCAGAAAGGAAGCAGACAGAAGCATGGATGACAGCAAGAAGTGAAATAGCTGGGCTTTAAGTTTTGAACTTGAACTCCGAAAACTGCTGAAGGGTCCCGGGCTCAGTGAAGGAGCTGGGACCGACGCCCCCCCATCTGTATTACCACCGCCTGCATTAGCGCTGTTACAGAAAACACATTAGCCATTGTGCAGATACGTGTATGAGCTTTCTAGATCTAAATAGCAGACAACATCAGGAGCTTCTTTTTGCTTACCTTCCTATGTATACACAGGAGCCATGACCTGCAAGAGGGCACCGATATTAGGAATACGGAATACGCTTCCTCGACTGTATTTCGTATGTGGTAGAAAGCACTTCCAGACTCTTAACATTCAAGTTCCATTGGTGGTTTTTGCAAAAGACATTTCTTTACGGTTCACACGTTCAGTGTACAATGGCGATCAGAAAGCACTTTCAGACTCGACACTCGAGTACCATCAGTGTTTTAATGGTGCTATAATGTAACAACTCAAGCCTATTACTAGCAGATATTGTCCGCTTTGCTTCGTAACGTATCGCTGTCAGCCTCACGATTTTAAAACGAGGTTTTCACACCCTTGTAAGGAATGTTTTGTTCTCATCTCCAACCGATGTGGGATCTCACAATTCACCCCCCTTTGACCCATTACGTATCGCCGTTAGTCTCACGACTTTAAAACGTGTCTGTTAGGGAGAGGTTTCTACACCCTTATAAAAAATGTTTTGTTCTCCTCTCCAACGTAGGATCTCACATCTAATCATCTCTTCATGCATCCTTCACTAATGCATTCTTTTTCCTAGATACTATTAACAACCCAACAAGAAAATACATTCTTTGCAAAAGAAATTCTTGAGGATTGAGGACAAAAATTTTGATAGTTGATAATTAAATAAAGTACTGTCGGGAAGGATAAATTCAGACTGTTTAGGCTCAGTTTGGTTCATGTTAGTGTAAGTAGGTTCAATTCAGGTCCAACATACCTTGTGATCAAGCCAATAGCTCTATTGGTTCAGTTGGGAACCCATTTCCCCTAGATAAAGCAAGAACTTGGAGAAAGGAACTTACTTGGATTAGTATTAGTTAATGTTGCTGTGCCTTCAAAGTCACATGTTCCGCCATTGCCTTGCATTTTCTGATAGTAGTCATTATAAGCATAAGAAGCATGGTTTACGACGTTATCGGGAAGAAAACACGTTTGCCCTGGTTGAATGGCAGAACAATTGGCTCCACCCTGCCCACAAGCCCAGTTCAGACCACTTTGCAACTTACCAGGATCTGCACCATCTTTAGCCACACAGTAAACAACAGAAGAACTCCCAGTGACACTGCTGGATATCAAACTCAAACGATATATGGCAGAACCGTTGGTCAAAAGAACTCCCCAGTTTTTCTCTGACATAGGCCCAGGCTTCTGGTCTTCACTGAACAACTCATATACGTAGGCGTTAACAGGATTAGTTGGCTCGCTAGGTGGACCAGAGCCATTCAAAACCCTACTGATCAGATTGTTGACATATATCTCAGCATTTTTCTTGGTTGCATAAGTTTCATTGGCTCCACCAGACCAAGGCCAGCCAGATTCAGTCACCACAATGGGGATATCAGAAAAGTTGAGAGATTTTATCGAATGATAGGTTGCATCCAACATGGCATCAAACATGTTGGTATAGTGGAGGAGTGTGTTCGGGTCAACAATCCGCCGGTTAATAGACAACGGCCGCAAAAGAGCATAATCTAGTGGGAAAATCCCGTTTCCTTTCATGTATCCATAATAAGGATAAACATTCAACATATAATATGACTTGGTGGTCTTCAAAAACTGAAGGAGTGGGTAAATGGTGGAATTCAATGAAGAATTGAACGTGGCTGTGGAAGGAGGAAACGACGTAAGAACAACATCCATAGACTGAGGAGTTGAAACTTTGACTTGAAGATTTAGGTTCGCTGCCACAAGAGCTTTATGAAGGTATTTCATGGCACGGATCAAGAACGGGCCTGCATTGGGGATAGAGGTAAGAACCTCACTGCCTACAGCAATGGCTGTTATATTGATTGCAGGTATATAAAGTGCAACATTTTTGTTAATCCAAGCTGCAGCCGCTGATGGAGACTTTCCAAGTTTTAGAACCTCCTCATTTGTAACACCAACCATTACTTCAATGCTACTGTTTGCCAAGGCTTTGAGTAATTGCGCATCGGCATCGTAGAGTCGAACATGAGTTATTTTGTAGAGTTTGAGCATTGAAACCACATTTGAAGCAGGTGGAAGATTGGATACATGAGTCCCAATATTTATCCCAACAAATGCTGGGTAACACAGGAAAGAATGCATGCTGTGAGTGTTACAGAAGGAGTTCACTTTTGAATTGAATTTTAGCATTTAAGATACTAGAAAGAGTTTATAGAAGTACCTCTTACATGAAAAAACATGGCAGACACAAGCAAAAGCACAATGGCAAACCATTTCTCATGCCTCCTCCAATTCACCAAAACGTCAACCTCAAACATCTCTCCGTTCCTTCCAGTCGTCCCTCAGCAGTTTAGCTTACCGGCCTGTCAAAATTGCGATGAAATGCCACCAAGCAAGAACAAAATTCAATAAAGACTGCAGGATATCGACAGTACATCAGAGTCGTGCTCGTTGCATATGGAAAAGAATGATTACTTCCTTTGAAGTCTGATTAATAGGAGATCTGATCGAACCAAACAGAACCAAAGATTACTAACATACTCTCACTCCAAGTCAAAACCATCTAAATAATTCTATCCCAAGCAACTCATTACCTAATTACTAACATACCTTTAGTACTCCAAAAACATCCCTAATTCTATCCTAATAACACTCCTATCAAGATCACAATCGCTTCTTGCACTGAATTATAACAGGAAGAGACCCTAAACCAAAACAAGCAGATACAAACAACGAACAAATTCATATGTAAGCAAGTAGCTAACCACTAATTACCAAACATTAACCCATAAGCACAAATTAGAGTAGATACAGAACAACAAACGACCCAACCAACGAGATCGAATTTCCTACAACTGAATAAAACCCTGATGAAATAAAACGACAAAAACCTTAATCCCCACAAATAAACAGAGAACCCCCAATATCTGCCGCTCCATGGCATGGGAAAGGCAGCAAACTATTACAACAAGCATCGTGAACCTCGATGCAACAGGAACAGAAATCGCAGCAGTTCACAACTTCACCTCCAATCCCCCGCCATTCCCAGCTCAAGCAAAAACTCTACTGAAAATGACAACAATGACTGAATATTAAGAAAAACGGCAATGAAGTACCAGGCAGTACCTTCAAAACCAGTATAGGAAGAGGGAAACTGCCGACCAATCGGAGGACGGTGCGCTACGACAAACATTGGGTATTCACCATGATCTGTTGGATTATAAGCTGGGGTATGTTTTTGTAGAACATTCCGCATCGAAATCAACGCCATGTGTAATGTTCTTCAGCTTCAGAAATGCATTTTTAAATTACCTGAAAAGGGTATAAAATATTGTCATATTCGAACCACCGAGAGAAAAAGGGAGAGACGATCCCGTGATTTCCCTCCAAATTCTGTTCAACTCCACGTTGAAACGAAGCGCCAAAGTCAATCGACTGACGTCGATACAAAGTTGAGAGCCGTTCGTTTTCAGCTGCTTATTGGGCCACTAATTCATGAAGCCCATTATCCTTTACTGAAAATCCTGAATTCAATCAGCCCAATGGTAATGGGCTTTTGGGCTTAGACATACGAAGCCCAGAATAAAACGACGCCGTAGTGTGTTGAATATGTGACGCTGAAAAAGGACAGAAGAGGAAGTGAAAAGTCAACGGAACTGTCTGGTGGGCTGTCTGCGGGCGACTGTCTTGTTCTGTCGGAT